GTGCGCTGGCTGCAGTGCAGGATGCTGGAGAGGCTCCATCGCCTATCCAAGTGTAGCACTGGAGTTTTTACGCCCACAGACAATACCCCACTGTAGGATACACACACCAGCACAGAGGCAGGCCCAGCAGCCTCAGGAACACGCAGCTGTGAGCAGCAGCTGCACCCAGGGCACACTTAAGGCAAGTGCTGAACACCTCCATTAACAGTTAAATCAAAGATTATCCTGGTAACCCATCAGAAATACATCCCTCTGGATTGCTCACTGTTTTAACTTCCAGCTTAATCCGAGAGGTTGCCCACCGTGTCCGACAGCAGCTTCCGCTGACAAGATCTTCCCCTCTGGGCTCCCTGCAGCAGCGCCGTCACTCACACGCAGCAGCCGGAGCGTCTAGGCGCCACAAACCAGAGCCATTTGCAAAGAGAAGTTTCAAAGCCCTTTATTAATTCAGAAGGGAAACACTGATATTTAAAGAGAGAGAAGTATGTTTATTAAGGTTCGTCCTACTCTAAGGTTCATACAGAGGATGGAATGCAATACAAGCGAAGAGCACACCCCAAAGATCTACCACACAACCCTCCCCTACTCCCTATAAGGGAACTGTAAAAAAAATAACAATAAAAATCAGAAAACCAGTTACTGTTTAACTAGTTGCAAGTGGCTTTGTCCAAAGAAGTCAAGCTTGATGCTGTATTAGCTTGGTATGCAAGAATTAAGTCTCTACAAGCTGAAGTATCACATACAGAGGCCTAAGATTTCCCGTGGACACACGAAACCATGTTTTCAAGAGCTACATCACAAGGGCTGTTCAAAACTGCCTAAAGAACCAGCCACTAATGGCATGCACAGGTCAACAATATTAACTTTGGTAATGTCAGTCATTTTTGGTCAAACCTGGATTCCGCTCTTTAACAGGAACACGTACAGAAACGGGCCCATCCTGTGCGTAAAGCAACACGCGTGTTCGCTACCCGCTAGAGGCAGGTCTTCAAGACAGGGGTGGAGTATTTGAACTGGGCTGTCGGGAGCTGGCTTAGTTCTAGCTCACACCTCTCACCAGCCTACAAGGCAAGACTAACAGGACAAGAAAGCAGTCAAATTGGTTTTTTCCCCTCTTTTACCTGCAGGACAAGAACCATCTTCAGATTTCCATACCTCTAAGTAACCCTAATTTGCCCCACGATGTTTTCTGGGAGCAATCCCGTAACTCTTCACTTTACCTCGTTCCCCAAGCCCCATTCTAGTCTGTTTTTCTTCCCAAAGCTATCAATACCCTGTAAATACAAGTGTTTTGTTCTTCTTGAGGAAGAAGTCAGAGGTGTTCTTATTTACAAGAGTCAATCCTCAGCACTGTAACTGGGCTTGAGCAGTTCAGAACGTGTGATGAAAGTGATACCCTGAAGTGCTACTTTCCATCGAGGATCCACACTTAGTTCAGTTTTATTTGTTGCGGAGTAAAGTAAAAAGACATCCAATTACACTAGTAAAAACTCAGATTTAAATTTGTACTCAAAAAACCACTACACATGCAAAGGGAACAATATCCTGCTAACACAACTTCATTTGCTGCTGCATTTGTCTAATATTAACAATTATGAACAGAGCAGTGCAACTAGTATTTGGAACAATCCTTACAGTGTTCGAGTGTCAGGCACAAGTCTTCACTTCTCTTCACACCACTGGTTCTCTTTACGTACCTGGAAGAAGATTCCAGCTATTAATAGGGTGCAGGGAATTCCTACAAGTCAGCTGGAGATTCCCAGGAGCATTCCGGGTCACTTACTGCAGGAAGGCGTAAGCCTGGAAGCAGCTTTAGTTTTTGATGCAGGGTTTGTGATTGGAGTCAGTCCTCCAGACTGACCTGTTCATCAGTGTAAACCAAGAAACTGATTTCTCATGCTGGATTTGATCAAAACTGTTTTCTTCCACCAAGGAAAGCCAATGGACTAGCTGAAGACTAAACTGCTCGTTTCATAGGACTGAAGACAAACTGGAATCTACAAGTCCCTGCCTTGGTATTTAAACAAGGCACCTGGTTCTGATCTTGCCCAACTCCACCGCTTTGCAGCTGGTTTGTTGTTCAGGTTCTGAGATTGATGAGAATCTGAACATCCTCCCCTTCCAGCCACACGCAGCAGTGCATCCTCGGCATCCTTCCTACCGCTCCGAAACTGCGAACGAAGGCTGCCACAGCAATCCTACACGCTTTCTTACCAGACAGGTCTGAGCTAGGAAGCCAAAAAGCTTTGTTTTGACCTCCTCGGGGAGCAGGCCGCAGGCACCAAAAGGTCCTGACTGGCAGCAACCCAGTTACGAGGGGCTAAGGCACTGGTTCGTATTTACTGTTGATGAGTCAGCTGCATCACGCATTAAACCACGAAGCACCACACAATTCAGCACAAACACCACCCCACCATCTCAGTTACAACTAAACCCAGACCAAGTACCTGTGCTTCTTCCTCCTCAGTGAAGTCGTTCTTAATATTGAACGTCTTGCGAATTTCTTCTGGAGTTTTCCCCTTGATCATGTTTGCAACTGTCTTGCACGTGACATCAAGCAAACCTTTGATGTCCAGGTAATTCGCAGCCTGTAGAAGAGTTTCCAAATCAATATCCCGCCTCTGGAAGTTTACTACCAAAGCTACCCTCTCGGGGGAACTGCACAACACTAGCTGCCAAGACATCTCCGCTTTGCGAAGCTTCTCGCTAGATCCCCGAAGTAGCAGGATCTAAAACCTGCTTGGCAAACAGAAGGGAAAGTCCTTTGTACCACGACAGACAGCCCCTTGCTCCTGCTCTGCAGAGGGCGTTCCGACGGCTGTGAACATCCCAGACCTTTGGTGCTGTTAACAAGCCGAGACAAGCCGTGTGGGCTCACAGCACCACACAGGTACAAGTTTGAGGAGTCAAACCTGCATCTGCTGTAGGCAGATGCTCCACTTCTTAGCCCTCAAGACCCCAGAGCCACAAGAATACAGACAGCTGTAGGGCCCTGTATTCAGAGAAGTATCACTGATGAATGAGCCAGTAAGGATTAACGGCCAGCATCAGGCTCACCAGCGTTCCAACATCCTCAGTGTGAGCCAGTAGCTGCCAGCACTACTTGCCCTCCCCAAACATCCCCCCAGGGAGGGGGGAGTTACACACGGCCTGTGCGCTCCTCCCCACACTTACCAGGATAAGTTCAAAAAGTGTCCCTTGGTCTACTTTCAGAAACTCCTGATCCCACACGGGGATGTCATCTGTTCTTTTTTCTTTGTTCTCATCATCCTCGGGAGGAGGTGGATCATCCTTGTGATGGGTGCACCACTGAATCACCTAATCATAGAATCACAGAATGGTTTGGGTTGGAAGGGGCGTTAAAGATCATCTAGTTCCAACCCCCTGCCATGGGCAGGGACACCTTCCACTAGACCAGGTTGCTCAAAGCCACATCCAGCCTGGCCTTGAAGACAGCCAGGGATGGGGCATCCCCAGCTTCTCTGGGCAACCTGTTCCAGCGCCTCACCACCCTCTCTGTGAAGAATTTCTTCCTGATATCTAATCTAAACCTCCCCGATTTCAATTTATACCCATTACCCCTTGTCCTGTCACTACAGGCTCTTGTAAAAAGTCCTCTCCCAGCACCCTTGTAGCCCCTTCAGATACTGGAAAGCTGCAATGAGGTCTCCTCGGAGCCTCCTCTTCTCCAGGCTGATGGGTTGATAGTAAAGTTTTACCCAAATGATTCTCCCACTGGGCCCCCACTACAACTTCCTGTTAGGAGTCCTGTACCTTTTAATAATCCAGGGTTAATACTGGAACCCTGCGTGAACATGCTCCATTACCCAGAGTTCTCATCTTCCAACAATCCGCAGGCCTGAAGGACAACAGCCTCCAAGCATCCCCCCTGAGACAGTGGCTAGTTAGTTACTACCTTAAGGCCCAGCTGCTGGTGTTACAGTTAAACCCCGTGCGAACACACACAAGGCTGTGCAGAGAAACCTAAACCTCATTGTGCAGCGTTGAATGTTTGCATAAACTTCATTCTTAAGCAGAACACTACAGAGGGGAGAGTGCAGCGTGGCAATAGCTGCCAACAGGACGTGTTCAGCACAGTACAAAGTTCACCTGGCACAAGGCTGTACGTTCCCAAGCTCATTTTATTTGTTAAAGACACACCACCATCTCATCACCCAGGCAGTTAAAGGAGGAGGGACCTACTGCAGGTAAAATCCTGTTCCACTTTGCTGAGTCTTCAGAAGTCTGAAGTTATTCATGTGTGTTCACTAGGAAATAATTCCTAACCCTGTATTTACCCCAAAACAGTCCAGCGCTATGTCGGCACACCGCCGCAGTTCACAGTAAAAAGCACTGTAGAAGGCAGCACCATACTTCTGCCCTTTTCTCCCTTGACCCAACAATAATCACGGCCTGTCACACAGTTTAACACCGCTGGGTGAGCACAGTGGCTCCTCAGCAGTAACCGCCACGCTGCTACTGCCGCTTACTCTCACCGCTGCCTGTCCCTTCATCCTTTCTCCTAACATCTGGATCTCAGAGACAGCCACCTCCGTTCACAGAATCCAATTAAAATCCGTGCTTTAACGCCATGGAATACTAGTGTGCACAGGTGTGCAGCACCTTAGGAAGCCTGTCTGGCCTCCAGCTGCTGTTCCAGACGGTCACCCTGCGGGTCTTCTGCCATTATCCGCCTGCCAGCCTCACCCCGGTTCTTAAGACACCCCAGATGCCTGTGTTCATGCACCTCAAATTGGGTAAGCCTACAGCTAGCTCAGGAAAAGTCTCTTTAATACAGGATTCCATAATACCCCATGAACTCCCCATTTCGTTACAGCCATACGACACCACCGCTTCCAGCACCTTACCTTTTTTAAGATAGCTGCATTGACGTTTGGAAGAGGGACTGGGTCATCATCACCTTCATCATCCATTCCCAAATCTAAAAATAGAAAGATGACTAAGCAACTGGAAGGCAAAACCCCTCTTTTCTGAACTGAGCTGCTTCACCAATTCTCTACCCTTGTAACAACACTGTGGCCGAATGGATTGGTAGCAATAGGATCTCTGACGGGTCACATCACCCGAGTACTTGCGTATTTTTACCACTTCCAAGAGTTCAATTCACAAGTTAAAGTGTTCCCACCGAGATCTCCCATTCAATTCATTATTAATTAAGACTTCAGGCCCACTGTTGGACATGGAGACAATGTTTTGCCCTCTGTAGGAGCAGTACACACTGTAGCCCTAGAGATGCCAGTTATCCGGCCTGGGAAGCGCCTGCACTGATTCTCACCAGCTGAAGACGTTCGCACGCCAAGGCAGAGGCACAAATCCTTCAGTCAAAGCAGCATTCCTAAAGCATGCTTCTGGTACTCCCTGTTTTTAAAGCTCATCAGCATGCTCAAGGCAGATTCGGATAAAGTTTGTCACTTTGTCCCCTTCATATGAGTAAGGAATCAAAGTGAAAATTGAGAGAAAAGCATAATTAAAATTTGGACTTGATACACGGAACAAACACCATACTGGCCATCTTTGATTAGAGAACATGCTTTTTTTGTTACACAAACACTAACTGTTGGATGACACCCCAGCTGTCAGAGACTAACATCTTGTAATTAGCTATGTAGCTGACCAACGACACAGACCTTCACTCATATGCACAGATGAGCCAGTTCTACATCACCAAGGAACTTCCATTTTTGAGAAGACTGTCACACCATCATCACCCATCGCATTTGTGCACAATTAAAACAGCATGCACTTCTGCATGTAGGCAAGTCAGCTACCGTTAGTAGTGCAGTGTTAATTAGTACTGCTTTTTGTTTGGAAAAACTTGATAGATTGAGAAACAAAGATACATTGAGGGGTACTGCATGTCAGCAGTTAGAATTCAGACAGTATCTCAACTGACAGAGTTTAGTCAACTCTGCTCAACTTGTCCCCACCACCTCCAAAACAGCAATTGCATCTGTTATCAGAAAATTGATACTCGGTGTTCTGGGGATGCTCAACCTGTCAGCTGCAGCACCCGGCACAGAGACGACTGTTTATTCCCTGATGCTGAACCAGCTGTACTGCAAACACACTTTGTTGGTACCAGGAGACTGGTTCTTACCCCAGTTAGTAAGAGGCTGGTTTATGATGCCTACTTACAACACGTACCACGTGCAGCTTCCCTTGCATCAACACCCGAGTGTCACCGAACACCAGCAGTGACACGGCTGCTGCATGTGAAAACCCAGAACTGTGCTCCCTCACGTATTCCACCCTGCTCACATTACTCCTGTCCAACAGCCTCGTAACAGAACCAATGTGTCCGATGGCTGGACTATTTCAATCTTATTTTTATTGCTCTCATGTGTCAGGTGCCACAACCAGGCAAAGATTTATACCCAACAACATAATTTTAACTACATCCACAAAAAAAAGATATTTTCCTAAGTTAGTTCATGAATATATCCAAAACCTGGAAAAAACAGACCGTAAACAATGAGGATTTGCACTGAAGGGATTAGACTCAGTTTGCCCTGTGTCCTAGCCATCTGGCAGACTTCCCCTCCCCCACTATAAGTTCCTTTGTTTCAAATTTATGTCAGCAGGAGATCAGAACAAAGTAGTTATCCCAAGTCATTTAACTGCACCCAGAGCTCACAGTACAGGTTTCATTGGTTTATCATCTCCCACCCTGTTTAAAAAGATACTTCCATCATAAGGCTGGTTCACATGATTAAATTAACTTGGGGTTTAACATTATTAGACATCCCATCCACTTAATTTTTACAAAGCTGATGTTGGATGTGGGTAAGGCAGGGGGTCCTTACATTTTTTGAGCCTCCCTGTTAGGAGCACTTACAAGAGGCCCGAATGTTAAGCTTTTTGCAAGAGCACATCCACTCAAACCAGTTTCAGCTACAGCAGCAGTAGCTCCAGCTGTTCTGACAGAAGCTGCTTCATGGGCCTGGGAATCCTTTTTGGGCACAGTACTGGTGTGTCTCCTTGGGTCACGATTCCTGCTCAGTAGGCTTCCTGGAATACACTGCTATCTGCATGAGCTAGTCCCCTCAAGGCTTCACACTCTTACCTTCCAGCATAGTCTTTATAGTTACAGACTGTTTCGCAATT